CTTGGGCTCTGTTGCATACATTGAGCTACTTCCCCAGTCTTTTAAATTTTTTAAAATTTTGAGACAGAGTCTCATTTAATTGTCCAGGCTGGAATTGGACTTTAGATTCTTCTGCCTCAGTCTCCTGAGTAACTGGGATTATAAGTGTGCACCACCACACTCGGCTAATAGTTGTTTTTGTTTTGTTTGTTTTTGTTTGCTTGTTTGTTTGGAGACAGGATCTTGCTATATAATTCTGGCTGGCCTTAAACTCACAATGTAGCCCAGGTTGGCTTCATACTTTTGGCAATCTTCCTGCCTCGTCCTCCCAAGTCCTAGGATTGCAAATGTGTACCACCACACCTGGCTGGGCTGCTAGTGTTTTTTGAAAAAAAATTCTATGGTGGCACCTTAAGTTATTTGTGTCAACATGGGGTCAAAGATATAAGATATGAGTAAACTAAGTAAAATCTTAATTTGATCCTTTTGAGTTTATTATCATGAATAAGTTTATTATCACAATGAGAGCATTAATAAAATGTTGCATTTATTTTATGTCTTAAGCTATTGTGAATATTTTATGTATTTAATTGAATTTGATAAAATAACACTTTTTCTTTTTAAAAGTATCTAGGCTACATTAAATGTGTGCAATGTATTTTATGGATAGTTTTCTCCTTGTTTCATTTTTTTGAGGAAATTAATATTCCATTGTTACTGGTTTCCTATGTATCCTTTCAGAAAGATAGCATGCTTATATTACAATGTATGAAGTATTTGCTCTCTTTCCTCAGCTTTACACAAAATGAATATATTGTATTTATAATTTTTCTTTGAGTTATCTGTATGAAATAATTCTGTGTGTACTTAAAGACTTCTTTCTTACTAATATGCGTAGTGTTATAACATATGATTATACCATAATTTATTTTCCAGTTTGTTATTTTTTTGTTTTGTTTTTGGTACTGGGGACTGAACTCAGGTCCTTATACTTGCAAGGCAGACAGCAGAACCATTGACCCAAATCCCCAGCCCCTTCCAGTTTGGTATTGATGTATATTTATTTTGTTTCCAGTCTTTTGATGATCCAAATGGTACTGTAAGGAATAACATACAGATTTTTTTTTTCATGTGTTTGATTATATTTGTAGGATAAATTCCTGCAACTTGAATTACTGAATTGTTTAAACTTTTGGTAAGTATTGCCAAGTTGCTTCCACAGAGGCTATATTTCTTAAGGAATATTTCACAGCAATCAGCAGTTTATGAGATTGCTTTTGTACACTTTTATTAATACAAATATTATAGATAGCTAAGTTAGATAGAAGTTAATAGACAATCAGACAGGGCTAGGTCCTTGAGGGAGTCAGTGCAGAAATTGAGAATATATCAAAACTGTGGCTGGAGAAGAAGGGAGATTAAAAGTCGCAGTGGCCAGATTTACATACTTACCTGAGTGATGAATGGAAGTTTGAGATTATACTGTTAATTGATACCAATCTTTGGGGATTTCCCATAGAAATAGAACATGATCTCACTAGGAATGGGCCATCCTCTCTCACTCAATAAGACTAAGACTACTAAAACTAGAGACAAGACTAAGACTATAGATATGGACCAAAGTTAATGATATCATCCATATGCCTTTGTCATGTGCCTTGCTTCCCTAGTGGATCAATATGAACTAAGTGACAATACTGTACTGTACTTGTAATCTTATAGCTTGATTATAGTTTGATCCACATTGTACCCACTTCATGACTTTGCCCTATGAAACAACCTCCTTGGAGAGATGACCTTGGTGGCAGCAACCCATTCGGGACCCCTTCTGTTTTATAGGAGCTATTTTTATTTCCCATCCTTTTTCCCCAGTTCTCAGTTGTGTGTGCCTCCTTACTTTGTGCACCTGTGTTCCCCTTTTGAGTGTGCCCTATTTTTCTCTCATTAAATATTTCCCACTCTTATTGTTGTTCCTTGGAATTGATTATTCCATTTCAGGGAACACGAACTTAACACATTAGATTGGGAGTTATATCTCTCTTTAGCAATGTTATTAACTGTTTGGAAAATATCTTGATACTTTTGCATTTCTCTGAAGAGGTGTTCAACTTTCAGATATTTAAAGTTTTCTTTTTCTATAAACATTCCAGGTTTTTTTTTAACCAAGGCAGTTATGAATTACCAGTTTATTGTGAAAGATGTTTACATTTCAACTAAGTGCAAATTAATTGCAGAATGAAATTTAAAATTGCTTAGCTCTAGACTGATTTCCATCCTAAGTTCTCTATTTTTTACCTTGTGTGTTCAGTGGTGGTGGACTTGTTTTTAAATTTTTATTTTGTCGGGCTTTGTTTATATAAGCACACAGATTCTTCATATTTGGAATGTCTTTTTTCAGGTTCATTGTTACAACAATGGAAGATAGATTGAAAAACTAGTATGTCATTAAAGGTTTTTGATCTTAACTGTAGACACTGGTCCAGAGCACAGTGTGATCACTTCAGTTGAACTGAACTGTGGACCAAGAGACAAAAATTACTTAAGAATTTGTTGATTCATTAAAGTAAAAAACAAAACAAAACAAAATACAAAACTCCTGGGGAATCATTCAGCTATTTCTTCCACATTAATATGGGTCAAGAAAGCTTGTTGTATTCTTGGAACTACAATCTATTTGATACATTTGGAACCTAGGGTCCGATGAGTATATGTTAGGAAACAATAAGATGTGGACCAAATTGTAGCTGATCTTGAATAGGATTTGATGTTGGGGGGGTGGCTTTTTGAGACAGGGTCTTGGTGTATAGTTTAGGCTGGCCTTGAACTTACTGTGGCAGTCTTGCCTCAGCCTCCTCAGTGCTGGGATTACAGGTATGTGCCAGCATATGTGGCCTGATCTTTAATAGGAAGCACAGGAGTTTGAGGTACAACTGAATAGTTAATTGTGTGTGTGTGTGTGTGTGTGTGTACATTGGGGATCGAACTTGGGTCCCTGTGCTTGCAAGGCAGGCTGTGGAACCACTGAGCTAAATCCCTGGCCCAGTTAATTGTATTTTTAAATTAATTGATTAAAGTTGTGAAACACTACAGATACACAGATGACAATTATGCATAGGCATAAAAGCTCTGAGAAACATTTATGAAATATAAACTCATAGAGCTGAGAATCTGAATAAGCCAATTCTTACAGCCTTGCTTTAGACAAGTAATGTGCTTGTATTAGAATTTGATAGACAAACTATTTTATAACTCAGGCAGTACTTAGTAATAGCAGGAATTGAAATTTATGTTTTAGCTTATTGCTTATTTGCCTTTAAATTATTTGATGTAAATGAATACTAGAAGATACGTGAGGGGCAACCCATTTTCTGGTCCCCCTTCCATCTCTCTTAGACAGAAGCTTTCTTTCTCTCAATAAATTTTTCCTACTCTTAAAAAAAAAAGAAGATAAAAATTGCTTGTAATTTTTTTCTTACAAGTTCTTTATCATTAGGGCAACTTTCTTCCTACCATACATTTGAGATTATTTTTATTGAAATTAATGATAGTTTAACTGGGGTAAGGTTGTTGCAGAGGAATTATTTGAGAATGTGAGCAGAATGATATATTGTTACTGATTCAGTTTTTAAAAGATAAAGATGATACTAACTTACAACGTTATCTTGATCCCTAACGGAGCATTTTAAGATTTCAGTATGATCATTTTATCAGGGTCTGTGTATGCAGTGACTAAGAAGTGATTTAATGATATATAACCTAGGAAGTCTTTTTTTTCCACAAAGGAACAAAGTAACAAGATTAATATTAGGTCACTTTTTTTTTTTAAACTCCAAAATGTGTGCTTTCAAAATTATTTTTTTCTATTTTAAATACTAGGTTCTGGAGTGTGGAGTCTGTGAAGATGTCTTTTCTTTGCAAGGAGACAAAGTTCCTCGCCTTCTGCTATGCGGCCACACAGTTTGTCATGACTGTCTCACTCGCTTACCTCTGCATGGAAGAGCAATACGTTGCCCATTTGATAGACAAGTAACAGAGCTAGGTAGGAAAATTATTTGTATGGATTTAAATTGAAAATTATTCATGTAACAGAAATAGCAATTGAAATAATTTCTTTTTCTTTCTTTTTGAGACAGGGTCTCACTATGTAGTTCAGGCTGCTCTTGAACTTGTAGTGATCCTCCTGTCTCAGCCTCCTGAGTGTTGGTATTACAGGCATGCTCCATCATGCCCAGCTTGAAATAATTTCTTTACACAAAAAATATAAAGTTCTGGGCTAGGGATTTAGCTCAGTGGTTCCTCTGCCGCCTTGCAAGCACAAGGACCCAAGTTCGATCCCCGGTACCAAAAAAAGGTTCTAAGGATCATTAAAAAACAATGGAGTGGGCCACTGGATTTAGCTCAGTGGCATAGCGCCTGCCTGGCAAGGTCCTGAGATTGATCCCCAGTATGAAAACAGTAGCAACAACCATGACAAAAATCTGAGTTTCTATTACATCTTCTAACTGTAAACTAGCCTTTTTTTTTTGGTATCAGGGATTGAACTCAGGAACTTGTACTTGCGAGGTAGGCATGGCACCACTAAGCTAAATTCCGAGACCTAGCCTAATTTTAATTACTAATATTTCATCTTTTCTGATGTTTATATTAATATAATTACATGTACAGAGCTTTAAGACACCCGAGTTATACATACCACCCTAGTCAAATAAATGATAATACTGTATTCATCACAGATTAAATCATTTGATTGGCACCATTGGTCCAATAAAAATATTTTCTTTAAAAGTGAATGGGCCAGTAATGAAAATACAGGTGAGTCATTTTATTTTGTTTTGTTCTCTGCCAAGGAACTAGGAATCAAACTCAGGACCTTGTGCTTGCCAGGAAGGCACTGTGCCATTGAGCTGCATCCCTGGGTTCAGATGACTCATTAAAGTCTTGGCAACTTTTTATTTTTAAAAGTATTTATTTATTTATTTATTTTTCAGTACTGAGGATTGAACCCAACCCTTTCACACTCAGCTATATCCTCAGCCTTTTTTATTTTGAGAGAAGGCCTTACTGAGTCACTAAATTGTCCAGGCTTTGCTCAAATGTGTTATCTTCATGCCTCAGCCTTGGGGAGTGCTGGGACTGCCGGCATACATCACAATGACTGTCTTCAGCATGTTTTTATTTATTAGTATCAGAGACAGAAGTGTTTGTATCTTGTGATAATTACTCCTTATTTTCTGTTAAAATTAAAGGTTTTAGGGATTTTTTTCAATTCCTTGTATACTTATAAAACTGTTTGTATATCTTGAAACAAGTTATTACTTAAGGTCCATCCATTTAGCTGTTAATGTCTGAAGCTCATCCTTCTTTATGGCAGAGTAGTACTCCATTGTATTAGAAAAAACACATCTTCTTTATCCACTCCTCAATTGATGGGCATTTGGGCTTTTTCCAAGATTTAGCTATTACAAACTGTGCTGCTAAAAATATAGATGTGCATATATCACTGCGATATGATGCTTTTAATTCTTATGGGAAGATACCTAGAAGAGGAATAGCTGGATCAAGTGGAACCTCTAGTTGTAGTGTCTTGAGAAATCTCCACACTGATTTCCACAGTGGTTGCACCAAACTACACTCCTACCTACAGTGGAGAAGGGTTCCTTTTTTCCCACAGCCCCACCTATCTTAATGAGGATTTTTGCATCTATGTTTATTAGGGAGATTGGCCTATAATTCTTTTTTTTTTTTTTTTTAAGTTGGAACCTTCTCTGATTTTGGAATTAGGGTAATGCTTGCTTCCAGGAGTGAATTTAGGTGTATTACTTCCCTTTCAATTTCATTAAAGAGTTTGAGAAGTAGCGACATTAGGTTTTCTCTAAATTTCTTGTAGAACTTAGCAGTGAATCTGTCAGGGCCAGGGCCTTTTTTTTTTTTTTTTTTTTTTTCTTTGTGGTACCAGGGATCGAACTCAGGACCTTGTGCTTGCAAGGCAGGCAGCAACATCACTGAGCTAAATCTCTGGCCCTGGGCTTTTCTTTTTTGATTATTTTTAATTTACATATCTAGTTTCTTTGGCTGATATTGGTTTATTTATAATTTCAATATCTTCTTGATTTCATTTTTGTAATTCATATGTATCTAGGAATCTGTCCATTTCTTCTGTGTTTCCCATTTTATTAGAGTACAGGTTCCTGTAGTAGATATTGATCATTTTCTGGATCTCTGCAAGATCTGTTGTGATTTCACCGTTTTCATTCCTAATGGCATAAATTTGAGTCTTTTCTTTCCTTTTTTTTTGATAAGTTTGGCTAAGGGTTTGTCAATTTTATTTATTCTTGAAACAACTTTTCGATTCATTGATTCTTTATATTGTATTCTTAGTTTCCATTGCATTAATTATTACTTTTATAATTTCCACCCTCATAAGAGCTTTGGGCCTTGCTCTTCTTTTTCTAGAATATTGAAGTTTAATATTAGGTTGCTTATTTGAGCCTGCTCTGTTTTCCTGGTATAGGAGTTCATAGCTATAAATTTCCCTCATAGGAGTGCTTTCATTGTGTCCCTTAAGTTCTAATATGTTGTATTGTCATTATCATTTAATTGTAAAAATTGTCTGATTTCTTCTTTAGTTTCATCTGTGACCCATGTTCAGGAGGATGTTATTTCATTTTCATGTGTTTATAGACTCCTTGTAGTTTCTTTTGCTATTGATTTCGCTTCATTGCACTATGTTCTGTTAATATGCGTGGGATTATTTCAGTTCCTTTGCATTTACTTAAGCATGTTCTGTTAGTGAGTACATGGTCTCATGTGGAGAAAGTCCCAGTGTGCAGCTGAGAATAATGTGTATGTTGATGTTGTGGGGTGGAACAGTGTGTGAACATGTACTAAGTCCATTTGTTCAAAAATTTGGTTCAATTCTAATATTTCGTTGTTGATTTTTTTGTCTAGTTGATCTATTTGTGATAGTGAGATATTGAGGTCTCCCATTACAGCTGTATTAGTGCTTATATGATTTTTCATGTCTGTTAATATCTGTTTCATACAGTTGCTATTTAGTGCATATATATTTAGAATTGTTATCTCTTCCTCCTGGATTGTTCTCTTCACCAGAATGTAGTAACCTTCTTTGTATTTTTTGGTCTGTCTTGTCTTGAAGTTCATATTGTCTTCAAATAGAATAGCTACCCCTGCTTTTTTCTAGGTTCTTGTCACCTGGAATATTGTTTTCCATCCTTTGACTTTCCATCTATAAATTTGTTCCTGAGTTAAATGTGTTTCTTGTATGTAGCATATTGTTGGATTTTGCTTCTTGATCCATTCTGCAGTGTGTTTCTTTTGATTGGGAAATTGAGACCATTAACAGTGATGGTTATAATTGATATGCATTGTCTTATCTCTGTCATGTTATTTTCCTGCTGTTTTCCTTCTTTCTTTTTCTGTTTAATTTCTTGCCTTGCCAGGTGGATTCATTCTTTTGGGGTTCATGGAGTTATAATTCTTATTGTCTCTTTTTTAGAATGTCCTTCAGAACACTTCTGAGTGCTGGTTTGGAGGCCATGAATTTCTTCAGGTGCTCTTTGTTATTAAAGTATCTTATTTCTCCATCAATTTTGAGGGATAATTTTGAAGGGTACATCAATCTGTGTTGGAGGTTGTTTTCTTTTAGCGCTTGAAATATTTCACTCCAAGCTCACCTTGATTTGAGAGTTTATGTTGAGAATCTTTTGTGATTTTGATGGGCTTTACTTTATAGGTGATTTGTTTCTTTCATATAATAGATTTTAATATTCTGCCCTTGTGTTGAATTTCTGGAATCTTGACTATTGTACACCTTGGGGAAGATTTTTTTAAATCATGGCTAATTGGAGTTCTATATGCCTCACTTAACTATATGTAAAATATATCATTTGCACTATCTCCTGCTTTTTCATTGACTCCACTCTTAATTCCTTTATTTTTTTTGGTACCGGGGATCAAACTCATGTCCTTGTGCTTGCTACTTAGCTAAATCCCTGGCACATTGACTCCAGTCTTATCTCATTCTTCTTTGCATCATCTAGCAGCTGCTGGATTAATTTTTCATGGTCCCTTGCTATTTTTAAGAAATCTCTCTTTTCATGATCGCTAACTGCCATCCTGTCTTCTATATCTGATATTCTTCCCTTATACTGTCTCATTCTGCTGCATATTCTTTCAGTGGAGTTTTGAATCCTCTAAATATCTGTTTAAATCTGTTTCATTTCTGTCCTATGCTGTGCATTTGTGGTTTCCATCTTGTTATCTATATATTTCATTCTGGTCACCATCTCTGTAGTTATCTGGGAAATTATTTCTGCTTTAAATATTTCTAGAGACCTGTTCATTTGTTTTGTTACTTCTGCTAGCAGATAGTTCAGGTGGGTCGCTTTTGGATTGTTCCTCTTTATTGCCCCTGGTGTTTGTTTTTGGTGAGTTTAAAGTCTGTGGGAGTTGCATCTTATTTAAGTGTCTTTTCATTTAAGTTTAATTCCTGAGTTGATATTTGTAAATTATTTATGGCGAGTAGCTTTATTGCCAGTGTTTGGAACCCTTAGGAAATGACTACTCAGAAGCATTTTCCAGGTGTAGCTAGCTTTGGGGTTTTGAGTCTGTTGCAGGATCCTACCTCTTCAATTTATTGGGGAAGAGAAGTTTCTGCCTATTTTTCCCAGCTGCCGGTTTTTTGGCATTGGTATATATATGTATATATATATATATATATTGAGATCCTTAGGTAATTTCAATTTTTTTTTTGGAGACAGGATCTCACTATGTAGTTGAGACTGACCTGGAACTCACCATGTAGGCCATGCTGGTCTCAAATTCACAGTGATCCTCCTGCCTCAGCCTTCCGAGTGCTGGGATTACAGGTGTGTGCCACCATGCCCAGGTCGGTAATCTCAATCTTGATATACAAGGAAGAACAACTGATTAGTGCAATTATATACCTTGGTTAAAGTAGTATAATCAATAAAAACAATAGCATTGAATACAGCCTAGAAAATGACACATTATAGCCCTTAATATGGCATTTTTACCCTTAGGGGAGAAGATTTAAAGGGGGTTAGGGAAGAAGCAGAAATGGAAGAAGAGGAAGAGATTAGAAGCAAGGCTGGAGATCAAACTTTAGGAAACTGGTGAAGATGACAGGTGGTAAAGAGAAAAGGAAAATAATAACAAGAACAACAGCAACAAAGAACTAGAAACTGTTCCAACAACTGAGAAGAAGAACTAGAAAGGAGGAAAAAAAGGAAAAAAATCCCAAATTGTTTAAAATATAAAACCATCCAATTCAAGGAGTGTCTTTGCTGTTACTGTTAGGCAATGTGAGTGAACAGAGTCCAGAGCCAAATTGATTAATCCCAGCAAGCTAGCTACAGCTTTACAGTGGGATAGTGGATAGTCCCAGCTACCTCGCCCCTTTAATTCCTCTGAAGTTCATGCTGGTTTCTGGCTTTGATGCTGGAACCAGATTCCCTGAGCCTACAGTAATCTATGTGTCTCCTGCAGGCTTGAACTCCATTCCCTGACCTCCTGCTAACTTGAACTCAGCACCCACACTGAGGCATTGGAAGCCACTAGATGGAGTCTGTCTGTAGCTGTTCTGAGTTCGGAGTTCTCCAAGATGGGTGTCAGGCAATCACCCCATCCTGGATGAGGTCTGAACCCGGACAGCTCACCAGCCACTGCAGTCTGGTTCATCCACTGCCTTGTTCCACTGGTACATGTCTCTGTAGAGGCCTCTGGGGTTGTCATTAGTCACTGTGGTCCTGCAGACTCAGCCCACCGTTCCCTGCTGGAGAGTCTGGGCTCTGGGAGAGAGCTCTGCTTGGTACCTCCCTCCTCTTCATCAAAGTCTCTCTCTTCACGCTCCCTGTAGACTTCAGTTCTTGCCTCAGCTTCTTCCTGGGTCCCGGGGAACTGCTTCCCTCCTCCTTCTCCTTGCACTGCTGTATTCCAGGGTCAGGACACGAAATCTTAGAGTGTCCCTTTCTGTGATGCTCACTATTCCGCCATCTTCCCAGAAGTCCAGATATTCCTTCTAACTGCTGAAGGATCTGACTTTTATTTATAGACTCAGAGTTTGTGTGAATGTGCATACTCATGTGTATGCGGGGGAAAGGGGGGCAAGAAATGCTCTTTCATCTGACCTTATTTGTATGTTTGGGGAAAAGAAGGGTTAGTTAGTACATATTTAGCTGTGTATAGAATCTTACCTTAAAAGGGATTATTGTCTTGCCTTGGTGTGAGTCTCTATTTGTGTGAGAAGGTATTTATTTAGTCAGTGACTGTTAACTGGTTAAAGAAAGAGTGGGAAAAATCTTGCCTTTATATGTTCTAATTTCCAGTTTAGTTAGAGATGGATTTTTGTTTTGATCGAATTTATCTTTATATGGTGGTTTACAAACATGAATATACGTTGTCATGAAAATCAATTTAATGGGTTGTGAACTGATTTTTTAAAATTAATTTTTTTTATTCTGAGGATTGATCCTAGGACCTTGTACATGTGCTACCAGTGAGTTACACTTTCAGCACCTACATTATTTTTTTAAAAAAGAATAAATAATAGCAGTGTATTTCACATAGCTGTAACGGTAAATAGTGAAGCTGTATGTTGGTGGCACACATTGTAATCCCAGCAGTGTGGGAGGCCAAGACAGGTGGATTGCAAGTTTAAGTCAAGCATGCGCTCATTAGTGACTTAACAAGATCTTGCCTTAAAAAAAAAAAAAAAAAAAATGGTGAAAGGGCAGGCGATGTAATTCAGTGCAAAAGTCTCATTAGGTCCCCAGTACCACACTCGTAAGCATACAAAAGTATATATTGATTTGTAGAACTTTGATTTTAATTGATTTTAATTGCATATATGTATTGATGTTTCTTATGCACCACAGTGAAAAAATCTGAATGTATTTGTTATATATTAAATCAGTGATAAAATAGGATTTGTAAAGCTAAATGGTAGAAAAGTAGAATTTTAAAGTATGTTTCTATTTGGGGCGTGCTGAGGAATTCTCTTTTCTCAACAGAACACTAACAAAGCAATTCTTCTGGAATAAAGAAATGGGGAAATTTTGCATTTTTAAGATTTAAGATTTTGTTTTTATGTTTTAGGAGATTCAGGTGTTTGGGGGTTGAAAAAAAATTTTGCTTTATTGGAGCTTTTAGAACGACTGCAGAATGGACATATTGGTCAGTATGGAGCTGCAGAAGAAGCCATTGGCATATCTGGAGAGGTATTGATTCAACTTGGTAAAATATTTGTTAGAAGATGATTTTTCCCTTAGTTTAAAGTATTAGCTGTCATTAGCACAATAGTACCTCCTTTGCTTTAGCAGATAAATTTCTTGAAACACAGCTTTTTACACACTTTATTAAGGCTACCCTAGTCCCAGTGTAACAGAAGTTGAGCTGAAACTTGAATTATTTGAAAATACTATTCCTAAGCTGTGTTTTATATGTCAACTTTTCTTCTTCTTATAATTCAATTCTACCCATGGATACAGTGAAAAAAAGTAATAGGATCCCTGGAGTAAAAAATATGTAAGCTATGTTAAAACAAAGGATGCAAAATTATGTCAGTCAGTGTTGAAGTACAATTAGAACAACAAAAAAACTCCATGGAAGAGACCATTTTATATAGAGGGAAAATGTTTTAAAGGTAGTAGTAGCTAAGATACCAATATATTTTTATTGTTAAATAAAACTTGTGGGAGTCCATAAATTTGAACTGAATGTCTGTGCTGGGCCCAATGGACTAAACCTATATAGAATGTAATCACAAGGAAGGAAGGGACTAGGAAAACAGTGAAAATAGAAGAAAAAAAATGGAAACAAAGCTTCTGTACATAGGGAGTGGTGAGGAGTTGGAGGGGCAAATGGGATAGAATAAAATTTATTGAACAAAAAGAATGTAGCCACAGTTTATTTAATCAAAATAAACAGTGGTGGATGGCAGGTAGCCAGTTCATTGGTTGATTGACTAAGCTGTGGCTAGTTCAGTTATTTTCTATATCTCACTTCCATTTTTTAAAATAAATCCTATTTGTGAAGTACTGTGAAACTGTTCTGGGAGATGTCCAGTTTACAAGTCATTTTTTCTTTGCATTGCTTTGTTTTTCTTTGTTCAAATACACTCCACGTAAGAGAATTTGCTGAAGGAATATTCTGTTTTTACATATATAAGGCTTTCTAAGGTTATGGGGTTATACATTTCAGAGTTTGTTAATGTCATATTTATTGGGTTCAGTTTTAAGGCATTAATTTTTTGTTTGTCAGAGTATCATTCGTTGTGATGAAGACGAAGCTCATGTTGCATCTGTATATTGCACTGTGTGTGCAACTCACTTGTGCTCAGAGTGTTCTCAAGTTACTCATTCTACAAAGACATTAGCAAAGCACAGGCGAGTGCCTCTAGCTGATAAGCCTCATGAGAAAACCATGTGCTCTCAGCACCAAGTACATGCCATTGAATTTGTTTGCTTGGAAGAAGGTTGTCAGACCTGCCCACTTATGTGCTGTGTCTGCAAAGAATATGGAAAACATCAAGGTCATAAGGTATGAATTTTATTGAATTGGATGACTCTCTGTACTTTACCAGCCTACCATTTGTTTTCCCTGATAATGGTTTTTTATGTTAAAATGAAGGATTGAAGAATTAAGTGATGTGTGGGTTGGGCTTGATAGCATAAAAGAAATGAGGGATTTTTTTTCTCTTTCGAGACAGGGTCTTGGTATATAGTTTGGCCTCGCCTTGAACTCACTATGTAGTGAAGGCTGGTCTCAAACTCACAACAGTTCTCCTACTTCAGCCTCCCAAGTGCTGAGACTACAGGTGTGTTCTGCCACTTCCACCTTGAGAGGTTTCTCAATGTCATAAAAATTTCAGAAAGGCCTAATGACTCTTTACTAAAAAATTTCTTTCCAACCAGGAGTTGTGGTACACTATAACTCAAGCTACCAGGGAGGCTCAGGCAGGAGGATCACAAGTTTGTGTCCCCCCTGTACAACTTAGACCTTGTCTCAGAGTAAAATTTAAAAAATAAAGTATTGGGGTATCTTGGTGGTAGAAGCATGCCTAACATGTTCTGGGTCCTGGGTTCAATCCCCAGTACCTCCAAGGGAAGAAAAGTAAACTTTCTAGTAGGAAACAAAAAGCTTTCTTTATCTGCATGCTTTCATATACACAGGATAATTTCATTGTATATATGTCTACTGACAAACTGTTATGATATAATTTTAGAGATGGTATCTTGTTTTCTTTTCTGATAAATGGACTTCCACATTTTAAATTGTTTGTAGTATAGTTCTCTTATGAAGAAGTAAAGTGAGTTAGTATATTTTTAACCTCATGTTGCACTTTTTCTAAACGTTATAAAAGCCATCTGTGGCTGATTTTTTTTGTATTTAGCAGAATTTAAATAATTTTTATATCAGTCAATATTGTGAATTCTATAATTATGTTGCATTTTATAGCATTCAGTATTGGAACCAGAAGCTAATCAGATTCGAGCATCAATTTTAGATATGGCTCACTGCATCCGGACCTTCACTGAGGAAATATCAGATTATTCTAGAAAATTAGTTGGAATTGTTCAGCACATTGAAGGAGGAGAACAAATAGTAGAAGATGGAATTGGAATGGCTCACACAGAACATGTATGGAGTTTCTTCTTCTTCTTTTTTTTTAATCTTTTTACCCTTTTCCATTCTCACCTTTTCACCTTCTAGTAAGTATTACACAATGACAATGTGACAGTACTGCCCTAGTGACTGGAGATAACTTATTTTAAAAAGTATTTTTCTCTGTGGAATGCAGCTATGCTAACCACTAAATCACCAACGCATATTTTTCTTCATGGAAGCTGTAATCCATTATGGAAAGGAGGCAGTGTGATAATGTGATAACTACTTTGTATAATGGGTAGGAAGCACAGAGTGCACGTCAGAGAAGGCTTCCTTAGAAGAACTCATGTCTAAACTGAGATTTGAAGGAGTTTGGTCAGAGAGAAGAGTGTGGTAAAGAGTGAGCTGTTCCAGAGAGGGTAGAATATGTTAAAATGCTTAAAAGTGAGGCTTGGACCTATTGAAGCTTAAAATTCACTTGACTTTTCAAAGCTTCTTGGCAAGAAGATGTTGGAGAGTTACAGGCTAAATCATGCAAGATATTTTTAGCCATGTTAAAGAGTTTGGAACTTAGCTTTAGTGCAGTGATGAGTCATTGAAGAATTGCGGTAGGAATGACATAATTAGGTTTGCATTTAAAAACGATTTTTTTTTTAATGCAGAAAGTGAATTGGAAGAGCAACAGATTGGAAACAGGAAGATCTATTAAGACATTGTTAAAATTTTCTAGTTTAAAGATATTCATGGCTTGAAATGCTAGAGTAGTAAGAATGGAGAGTAAGATGTATTTGAGATTTTAAGGAAGTAGTATAAGTAGGTCTTACTGATTGATTATTTATATTAATTGGACAAGTAACTTGGAGAGTCAATCAGTTAGACCATTTAGAAAGCTATTACACCAAGTGTGATAGAAAAATACAGTGAATGTTTAAATTAAAAAATTTTACAATAAAATACACATTGCCATTAATCACCTTTAGACTACTACCTCTCACCTAAGATACACTTATTCTTGCCACTTTCTAAAACAATTTGGGAAGTCCTCTTTTGTAAGTGTTTTTAGTTTTCACTACCTTGATTCCTGAATTGATTCAAAACATTTGCCTTTCATGATCATTTTGACTTTGTGGAAGAGTCAGAAGTTGCAATGTGTCAGACCCAGTGAATAAGGTAGATGAGGACATACCAGAATGTTTTTACAAGCCTGCCTTTCTGTTGGATGGCATTTGGGAGCAGCATTCACAGTGCTTTGTGTTACACCAAGTAAAGACACTAAAGAGGACTGTTAGAACTACTTCAGGAAGTAGCAAAAATGATGGGACAAGTGTTTTTGAACTGAGGGAAGTATTTTGAGGGGATTGATTAATGGCAATATGTCTTTTAGCATGATATTTTAAAATTAAAACATTCAATGTATATTTTGATGATACCTCATAATAACAAGTTGAGTGGTGATAATGCTTGGACTAGGTTGTTTGAATTGTAGGTGGTGAAGCATGATCAGATATTTTGAAGTCGTGAGAAATTTGCTGAAGGACTAGGTGTGGTATGTGAAAGAGGTGTTGAGGATGATTCCTATTTTTTCTTTTTGGCTTCAACAACCTAGAGGATGGAGTTCCATTACTGAGATGGAGGTAACTAGGTTTGGAGTTTGGGGAGACTGGAGATTAGGTTTTTCATTTTGCCTGAGATATCATTCATAAACACTTGGTTATTCAGAGTCTGTAGTTAAAGGGAAAAGTCTACTGTGGAGGTTTAAATTTTGGAATTTGTAAGGGCATAGATGTCTAAACTGTTTTGTTTAGGTTACATTTGTTTAAAACGTAGGTACCAGGTACTGCAGAGAATGCACGATCGTGTGTCCGGGCTTATTTTTCTGATCTACATGAAACTCTGTGTCGTCAAGAAGAAATGGCTCTAAGTGTTGTTGATGCTCATGTTCGTGAAAAACTGATTTGGCTCAGGCAGCAACAAGAAGATATGACTATTTTGTTGTCTCAAGTTTCAACTGCCTGCCTCCATTGTGAAAAAACTTTGCAGCAGGTAAGTGCTTTAAACCTTTAAATGCTATAGCCATAGTTGTAAGGTAAAGTAGATAATTACCAGAGATATACACTATTCTATTTCTTTAATTCAGTGACTATTAGAGCTCTTCTGCATGCATTGATACTGTTCTTAGGACATGGTCTGTAACTCCAAATTACTGCATTAACTTTATCAGTGTCCTGTTCTTCATTTAACCACTCCATTGTAAAGCTGTGGATTCTAGGAACCGTTTAACTTCTTATCCTTCAGTAATACCAAGCTTTGTTACTGTTCTTTGCCAAGTATATGCTGTTTTTTTCTGCTTAGAGTGCCTCTCTTTTCTGTTAGTGGAATTTTCCTTTGCCTTCAAGGTTTAGTTCAAATGTTTGCTAATCTTTGGAGCTTTCTCTTCTTTAGGCTTTTTTGGATGCTTGCCAGCATGTACTCCCTTCCTTTGTTCTAATTTGGTGGTTCTTCAGTATTGTAGCAAACTCAAATTTTATGATAGTTGAGGTATTATAAGCAATTTGTTACCCAGTGTGCCAATGATTTGTTTTTTAAAATAAATTAGATTCCATGTTATTCTAACAAAAATATCAGGCTTACACCTTTCTATTTTGGATCTGCTTTCATAAGTGGGAGACATAAAGTTAACTGCTATCGTAGGAATTTTAGAATAGTTACCATTTAACTTATTTTTACTGGTGCACTGCTAATTATTTTATTGAATCAAATTATGGTAGGCTTAACCTTTTACCCTTGTAGAACTTTTTCTCTGAAATATCTAATTATACTTACAAGAATGTGGCCAGTGACCTCATCAGTCTTGAGTTGTTTGGGGTTTAGTCTTTATTTCATTTAATTGTAGCAGTTGATGTGTATGCAGCTTAAGTTGTTTTTTGGCTCCAGTCCTTCTCTTCTTTCATCTGCTTTGTGATGCTGGGACTAGAACTCTATAAACAACTTATCTGTGTAGCTTGCTCCCTGTTAGGTGCTGCCAGTAGGGAACAGTAGAGGAAAGTTGGAAGGCAGGAGGCAGCTTCCTGTGAGTTCCAGTTTGCTTGGGGTTCTGGTGAATGTCCCTCCTTTCCGTTAAGGCACAGTTTCTCAGAGGTCAGAGTTTCAGCTTTATGCAGCCCTGCCTATGAACTTCTGAGTTATAGTAATTCTAATTTTTTCCCTTTATTCCCCAGCCCCGTGGATGTGAGTTATTTCCTGTAGTTGCTACTTCCATCATACCTAACCTTTCAATTATATAGTTAATAATTACACCTACTTAGGTTTTGGGTTTTTGTTGTTTTTTGAGATAGTCTCTTGCTATGTAGTTCAGGCTGGCCTTGAACTCACCACGTGGCTCAGGCTGGCCTCAAACTTGGGGCAATCCTATTGCCTCAGTTTCTTGAGTGCTGGGATTACAGGTGTGTTCCACCAAGCCCATCTGTATTAAGTTTTTATGTTCAAGTAATTGGATTATTTATGTCTTCGAATTTGACCTTGAATGATGTAGAATGCATATTTGCCCTACAAGCTGTTTGTGTGCATCTTATTCATCTTTTTATCTTTAAATTCTGTAGCAATAATTTAATAAACACTTGTTCACCTCATGGTGGGTGATCAAGCACCGCAGCAAAAGCAGAACAGAGTAATATATTAACTCATTTACTTGACTACTTGAGTATTTTCATATCTACTTTATGGGTAAGTATGTTCATATTTACGAAATATTTAAAAGTGCTTTAGAGTTTCTGAAGTATTCTGTCAAAATAACTGGTTATTGTCAGTGATACATTATTCCATTGTATTAATGTACCTAAAATTGTGCCTTGGATTCATTTTTGACATGGAACCATTAGTTTTTTTGTTTTAAAAATTTTAAATTAATACATAATAATTATACATACTTATGGGTCACAATTGCTATTTTGATGTATATGTTGTATGATTATGTCAGGGAAATCAGCATATCCGTTACCTCAACATGTATCATTTCTTTGTGGGAAGAACATTGAACAGAAAGAATTTAAAGAAAGTATATGTCTCTATGTATATCTATATATAACTTTATATCTGAAAGGAATTCAAGTAACTTAACAGCAGAATATCCCCAAATAATCCAATCAAAAGTGGGCAAACATCAGTAATCATAAGGGAAATGCAAATCTTGACTTCAACAAACTATACTTTGCTCATTCCAATTAAAAAGGCTAATATTTAAAAGATAAAGAAAACAAAAGCTTCCCTTGAAGCTACTTCAAAATATACAATATAGATTCAATATCCAGAAATGTAAAAGCCATGTTCTAGAATCTGATTTTTAGTTTGTTTTTGAGACAGGGTTTCACTAAGTGGTTAAGTTGCCTAGTCTGGGCTTGAGTTTGTGATTTTCCTGTTTTAGCCTCTCAGAATACTGGGATTACAGGTGTGTGCCACCATGCCTTGTATAAAATCAGAAACTTTTTGAGCAGCAATGTGACACTGAAAAAGGTTTTGGTTTTGGAGATTTTCAGATATCAGATTTCAGCTGTTAAAATCTATATAAACTAAAATCTGCAAACCCCTGACATCTGAAACAGTTCTAGTCCCACACATTTCAGATGTAGAGTACTCAATCTGTATATTATTGACATCCTGTACTCACTCTGCTGTGTAATAGAGCACAAGAACTCATTTCTCTTACTGTATCTTTTTTTGAGGACTGTGTATTCATGTCTTTCCCCATTGTTCTCTGGATTATTTGGAAATATTTTGCTATTTCCTATAGATTGATTTTCTATTCTGTTGGTTACTTTGTTGTGTGAAAGCTTTTTCATTTGATGTACTTATGTTTGTTTTGTTTTTGTTTCTTGTACTACTTTTGTTTTATACTTCTTGTACCCCAAAATCTTTGCTCACCACTTGCCACACATCCTGACACGTTTCTCATATGTTGTCTTATAGTAGTTTATTTTCCTTGTTTTTGTTCTCTCTCTCTCTTTTTTGTTTTTGTTTGTTTTATGAGACAGGATCTTACTATGTATTTCAGTCTGGCTTTGGAAAAAGGAGGGCGGGGGAAGATAAACCTTTCCAGGTTGTCTCCCTCCTCACCCCTGTATCCCACCGGCTCCAGCCAGGCTTCATCTCCCAACATCTCATTAGCAATTCATCAATAGACTAATCCATTGATGAATGTCACACCTCAATGTCTAGTTACCTCCAAAAGCATCATCTGTGAGTGCATGAGGCTTTGAGGAGACATCTACATATAAACCATACCAAGGTCATACAGAATTATATGTAACGAAGGCCCTGTGAGCCATTGTAAAGATTTCAGCTTTAATGATGGTGAAGGGCCAATCATGCTTGGGCACGAGTGAGTTATTAAAAGGATCACTCTGGCTGATGTATAAAAAACAGAGTGAAGAAGGTTGAAAATATAAAGAAGGAGTTCAACAGGGGACTATTCATAGAATTGTAGGAGAAACATAATAATGGTTTGAATACTGGGTGATAGAAGTGCCTAAATTCTGGATATCTTATAGGTTATGGTGTCAGATTGTATGTGAGGTACGAGGGAGAGAGAAAGCAAGAATAAATTAAAACTTTGTTCTGAGCAACTATAATAAATTTTTTATCAACTAATACAAGTATTAAACAATGAGAAATACATAATACTTCTGTTATAGGGCTTACCTATCCTTGAGAAGTTTTTTGTTTTTCATTTCTTTTTTTGTTGTGCTGAAGTTCAAATCTAGGGTGCTGTACCAGTGACCTGTATCTCTAGCTCAAAGATCATTTTCATATGAAAATTATATTGGTATATGTGTACAATATTCAGGAAATTGGAAAGTACTTTATTTTGAGAGGACCTAGTAATCTAGAGTGAGAGGGAAGCATCACGGTTTGTTTTTTGTCCTTTTTTTACTTTTTATTTTTGGCACCACGGGTTAAACTCGGAACCTTGTGCTTGCTGGGCAGGTGGCAGCATCACTGAGCTAAATCCCCGGCCCTCCTTTTTTAATTTTTTAAACCAATACATATATTGTTCTTTAAACTTTATGAAAGTAGAATAACCATACAGAAGTGTGTACATAGATGTTTGGCTGGGTGAATTTTCAGGTTGATCACCTAGTGTGTAACCACAGACTAAGTAACAAGATTGTCAGTACTTCAGAAGTCTCCTCTGTTATTTGCCTAACCCTGCTAAGGACTTTCTTGCTTTTTTTTTAACTCTTGGTAATAGGAATTGAACCCAGTGCCTTAAGTGTGCTAGGCAAGCGTAGTACTTCAGAAGTCTCCTCTGTTATTTGCCTAACCCTGCTAAGGACTTTCTTGCTTTTTTTTTTAACTCTTGGTAATAGGAATTGAACCCAGTGCCTTAAGTGTGCTAGGCAAGCACTGTACTACTGAGCTACATTCCCAGCCCTTTTTATTTTTGATACAGTGTGTAAGTTACTCACACTGGCCTCAATTTGCATGTTCCGGTCTTATCTTCCCAAGTAGCTGGCATTGGAGATATATGCCAGCACACCTGACTCATGTTTCTGATGTCTGCTGCATATATTACTCTGCTTGTTTTGGTAATTAATATAGATGGAATAATACAGGATGATTTCTCCATGCCATGTCTTCTCCATGTCATGTCTTAGATTACATTATATTTGCAAAAAAATACATATCATCACATTTAGTTGTGTTTTATTCTCTTCATGATATAATGTTTATTTGTGAATATTCCACAATTTATTTATTCATTCTTCTGCTGCTAATAGGTCCTTAAATTTTTATTAGTGTTCACGTATTGTAATTCTAGTCAAATTTACATTTAATAACAATTCTGTAGTGTTGAATGGAACTGTCTTGCAAGTTGGCAATGGTAAGTCTCTATTTCTTTAAGCAACAGTTTATGAGAAATACTGTTGACCCTTTTCTAGGATGACTGTAGAGTTGTTTTGGCAAAACAGGAAATTACAAGATTATTGGAGACATTGCAGAAACAGCAGCAGCAATTTACAGAGGTTGCAGATCATATACAGTTGGATGCCAGCATCCCCGTCACTTTTACAAAGGTAATGTGCCATGCTTTATTTTTAGGTACATTTTCAGACAAATCATAATTGATTTACCTTTCTATATAATCAGCACAAAAATACAACTAAGAAATTAATTACATTTCCCTCCAAGGAGAGCAGGGTTTTAAAAAATATTTTTATAATTTGTACATGTTTATGGGATATATTATGGTAATTCCATACATATATACAATGTTTATTAATCAAATGAATGTAATAAGCATTTCTAAGAAAACTTTATCAGTGGAAAATAGAAAACAATTATATTATGATTTTTCCTGTACTTATCCAATTTAATAAGTGCAAGCTTTTTTATGTCCTATGTTCTTTCTTCCACTTTCTACCTGCAGTATCTAGGATAGTTTGAAGGATATTCTAACATCACATGATTTCACTCCAATATTATATCATCCTATCTATGAAATATTTTACTGTGCATCTCCAAAAGATAAAGATTATTTTTCAAAGATTAAAATCAAACCTAAAAAGTTTAATAGTAATCTCTAATATTTTCACTGATGTTATAAAGTATCCAGTTAATATTCAGATTATCCAGGTTTTTTCTAAACCAGATTAATATTTTTTGAGAAAGAATCTAAACAAGCCCTTACTTGACATTTGGTTGATATATTTAATTTTTTTTTTTATAGTGGATTCCCTTTGATTTACAAACGTTTGTGAGCTCTATTTTCCTTTCTTTTTTAGTGGTAGTTTTAAAATTTAACTTTGTTTTATAATTCTCTGAAATAATTTACAAGGTCTAAAATCAAATCTGCAAAGCAGTGTTCTTTAAGAGGAGACTTAAACTTTTATCCTTGTCCCCTCTGTACTTTTTATTACATAGAAAACTAGAATTTTCTTAGTTTTATTCATTATTTGAAAAAAAAAAGTGAAAAAGTAGAAAAATGTGTTTGTATATTTGTACTCATACTGCCCACATAGAAAAATAGAATTTCTTACACAATTTTCCTATCTTTTCACTTAACTGTACATCCTAAAAAATTGCTGCTTATAATATACAGTGATATTTTTTATTCCTTTATATAGCTACAAGTTACTTTATTTTGAGGATGTTTTGCATTTATTTTGGCAATAAACACATTACAGAACTTTTATCATTTTACTCATTTTTAGGATATACTCAGTATTGTTAAGTACGCTTACATTTTTGTGAAACAGATTTCCAGAAACTTTTTATCTTATAAACCTTAAACTCTGTATTCTCTATAAATAATCAACTCACACTCCCCACCCCACTTTGGCCCTGGTACCTAACATTCTACTTTGTGTTTCTGTGGATTTGATTAATTTAGATACTTCATGTAAGTGGAATAATACCTTATCTATCTTTTTGTGGCAGGCTTTTTTCACTTTGCATAATGTCTCCACAGTTCATTGATGTTGTGGAATGTCTGAGAATTTTACTCCTTTTTTGACTGAATAATATTTCATTGTATATGTATATATCATATTTTGTTTAACCTTTCATCTATTAGTAGAGACTTAAGTTGCTTTCGCTTCTTGGTTATTAAGTGCTGCTTTGAATGTGGGAATACTACAAATATCTCTTTGTGACACTTTCAGTTCTTATGGATATAGAACTGGAAGTGAAGGTAGCAAGTGGATCACCTAGTAGGTCTATTTTTAATTTTTTGAGGAACCATTTTCTATAGTTTTCACACCATATTATAATCCCACCTTTAATGCACAAAGGTTGTCATGTTTCTCTACATTTTTTGTTTTGTTTTATTTTTTATAGAAAAACATTTATTGCTATATTTTAGGCATACGTAGTGAGAACACTCGTAGGGAATTTGCACCTGTACATGATACATCCTGCATCTTTTTCCCATTCTCCCTTTTCCAAGACTCCTCCCCTCTCTATTTACAAAAGCTTTGTTTCCATTCTTCCCATTTTCTCTTTTTTTTCTTGTCCCTTCCTTCCTTTCTCCCCCTCTCATTTCTTGTTCCCCTTCCCATTTGAACATTTTCTTCTAGTTTCTCAATATGTGTTAATACTTTAGTCCTTATTTCCACTTTTGATTTCTCGCACCAGAGAATGTGGTATTTAAACACAGGTGACTGATTTATTTCACTTATGATTATGGTCTCAGGGTTCATCCATTTAGCTATAAATGTCTGAAGCTCATCCTCTTTTTTGGCAGAGTGTACTCCATTGTACAAACAAAACAAAACAAAACAAAACAAAACAAAACAAAACAAAACAAAACAAAATACATCTCTTTTATCCATTCGTCAGTTGGGCATTTCATTTGGGCTGTTTCCAAGATTCAGCTATTATAAACTGTGCTACTAAAAACATGAGTATGCATGTATTGCTGTGGTATGATGCTTTTAGTTCTTGTGGGAAGACACTAAGAATGGGAATAGCTGGGTCAAGAGGAACCTGCAGTTTTAGTTTTTTGAGAATTCTCCAACCTGATTTCCACAGTTGTTACCAGTCTACATTCCTACTAACAGTGAAGAAGGGTTTCTTTTCCCCACATCCCTGCCAGCATTTGTTATTGGTTGAGTTCTTGTTAACAGCCTTTCTTTCTTGAGTAAGATGGAATCTCAGCATTGTTTCAATTTGCATTTCTCGAATGACCAGTGATGTATGAACATTTTTTTTCATGTATTTATGTGCTGTTTCTACTCCTTCACCTGAAAAGTGTCTATTCACTTCAGATGCCTGTTTTTGGATTGAGTCTTTAAATTTAGGGGTCTGATTATTTTGAGTTCTTTATATATAAATAGTCCTTTGTCTGATGAATAGCTGGCAAAATTTTTTCTGACTCTGTGTTGTCTCTTCACTCTGTTGGTGTGCAGCAATGTTTTAATAAGATGAAGTGTCAGTTGTTGATTCTTTATAGTATTTCCTGTGCGCTCTCGGTTTTGTTCATGAAGTCTTTTCCTACTCTTACTGTCCTCAAACCTTCTACTTATTCTCTCTTCTAGCAGCTTGAGTGTCTCTGTTTTAATATTTAGATCTTTGAGCCATTTCAATTTTAGGTGAGTGCATAGTGAAAGATATCCATCTAGTTTCAATTTTCAGCATGTGGAAAGCCAGTTTATCCAGCACCATTTATTAAAGAGGCCATCTTCCTTCCAGTAAAGGTGTTTAGCTCCTTTGTCTAAGATAAGGTGGCTGAGTGTGTCTGGAGTACTTTCTGCATCTTTTTAATCGGTTCCATTGATTCTCAATTCTGTTCCTTTATTAATACCATGCTGTTTTTATTACCATAGTGTTGTTGTATAATTTTACATTAAGGATTGTGATAACTGCTGCCTTGCCTTTGTTGCTCGGAATTGCCTTTGCTCTTCTAGGTCTCTTCTGGTTCCAAATGAAGTTTAGTCTTGTTTTTTCTAATTCTGTGAGATATGTGTTGGGATTTTGATTGGGATTGCATTGAATCTGTATAACAGTTTTGGAAATAAGGTCATTTTCATTATATTGGGTCTTCCTATCCAAGAACAAGGGATATCTTTCTGTTTTCTGATACCCTCTTTGATCTCCTTTTTCAGAGTACTGTAGTTTTCAATGTAGAGGCTTTTTACTTCTTTTGTTATATTGATTCCTAGATATTTCATTTTTCTGGATGCTATTGTGAAAGATGCTGTTTTTCTAATTTCTCTCTCAGTTTGTTATTTGTGTTCAGGAAGGCTATTGATTATTTTGTTTTTGTGCCAGGGATTGAACTCGGAACCTTGAGCTTGTGACACAGGCAGCAGAACCACTGAGCTAAATCCCCAGCCCTACTGAGCTAAATACCCGGCCTGATTTTTGAGTGTTGACTTTGTATTCAGCTATGCCACTGAATTTGGTTATCAAATCTAGAAGTCTTTTGATGGAGTTTTTGGGGTTTTCTATGTAGAGTATCATGTCATCTGCAAATAATGATGATTTAACTTCTTCCTTTCTTCTCATGATTTCTTTCATTTCTTTCTCTTATCTAATTACACTAGCTAATGTTCTCAGAATTGTATTGAATAAGAATAATGATAATGGATACCTTTGTCTTGCTCCTGATTGTTGAGTGAATGCTTTCAATTTTTTCCATTTAATCTGATGTTGGCTGTTGGTTTGTCCTAGATGACTTTTATCAGATTGAGATAAAGACCATCTATACCAATTTTGTGTAGAGGTTTTATCATGAATGAGTTTTGGGCTTTGTGAAACATTTTTTCTGCATCTATTGAGATGATTGTGTGATTTTTGTCCTTGACTCTGTTAATACAGTGTTTTACATTTATTTATTTATTTACATATGTTGAACCACCCCTGTATCCCTAAAATGAATCCAATTTATCATGGTATTTAACTTTCTTGATGATTTGCTGCATTCTGTTTGCTAGTACCTTATTGAGGATTTTTGCATCTATGCTCAGGGATATTTGCTTGTAGTTCTTTCTCTTTTTTTTTCTAGGTACAGGGGATTGAACTTGGGTTCTTGCACTCGCAAGGCAGGCCACCGAACCTCTGAGCTAAATCCCTGGCCCTGTGGTTCTCTTTTTTGGTTGGATCCTTCTCTGGGTAATGCTTGCTTCCAGGAGTGAATTTTGGAGTATTGCTTCCCTTTCAATTTCATTAAAGAGTTTGAGAAGTAGCAACAGTAGGTCTTCTCTAAATTTCTTGTAGAATTCAGCCGTGAATGGGTCAAGGCATGGGCTTTTCTGTGTTGGTAGGGTTTTGTTGTTTGTTTTTTGAGACAGAGTCTCACTATATAGTTGAGACTGACTTGGAACTCATTATGTAGCCCAGGCTGGTCTTGAACTCACAGCGATCCTCCTGCCCCAGCCTCCCGAGTGCTGTGATTATAGGTGTGTGCCACCACACCTGGCTCTTGGTAGGTTTTTTAATTACATCTTCAATATCCTTGGCTGAAAATGATTTGTTTATATTTCCTATATCTTCATTCAGTTTTGGCAATTCATATGTATCTAGGAATTTGTCCATTTCTTTTGTATTTGTTGGATTCATATAAATTTAATAGAATATTTAGGGTTTTCCACATGTAAGAACATGTCATCTGTGAAGAGAATTTTATCTTTTTATTTTGATTTGGATGCCTTTCATTTCTTTCATTATTATTTTTCTTAATTGTACTGGTTAGGACTTCTAGTCTAGTACTGTGCTGAATAGATATTGAAAGAGTGAGCATCTTCATTGTGTTTCTTATCTTAGAAGGAAAGCTATTAGTTTTTCACCATTGTTGGTGATGTTATCTGCAGGCCTATATCATGTTGAGGTAGTTTCATTCTGTTCCTATTTTTATCAAGTAATTTTATCATGAAATCATGTTGGATCTTGTCAAATACCTTTTTTACATTAGTTAAGATGATTATATTGTTCTTGTGTACCATTGTACTAAAATGTTATATTGCATTGATGTTAAGCAGTTTTTGTCTTCTTAGATATAAATCCCATTTAATAATGGTATGTATTCCTTTTAATCTATTGTTGGATTTGATTTACTAGTATTTTGTAGTTTCTTCTATTTGTACCTATGTAAATTTAGTACTATTTTTATCCTTACTTTTAAAAGAGAGAAGTGGGACAGAGAAGCCACAAACCTAAGAATGTTCATTATGTATGTTTATTACAGCATTCTTTATAATATCAAAAAATGAAAAATGATCTAAAATTAAACAGTGGGGAAATGATTAAATAGTGGTCCATGGAATATAATGAAACTAATTAAAAGAAAAAGTCGGTCTGGATGTTGAATCAAACGAATCTATAAACTGTTCAGTGAACACTGATAGTTACACTGTATGGTATTAAGCTTTGATTTTTTCCTTTTTGGTACCAGGGATCTAACTCAGGACCTTGCTCTTGCCAGACAAGTGTGGTACCACCAAGCTACATCCCTGACACTAAGCTTGTTTTTAATAAGCACATTTTTTGTGTGTATGTCAGCCATTGTATGTATAGGAAAATGGGAGGATATTCATTCAGTTGTTAACAGTAGATGTTTCTGGGAGTCGAGAAGCAGTTCGCATTTTTAACTAATTTAGCCTTATTATTGCATAAAAATGTGTTCTTGAAAGATGATTTAGTTGAGTTAGAAAGTCTGAGAAAATTAAGTGGGTATGTGTATGTTGTATCCCATTTATTTCAATTTTTTTTTCTGGTACTGGGAATCAACTCTAAACCTTGAGCTTGCCAGGCAGCCACAGTACCATTGAGCTAAATCTCCACCCTTGTTCCAATTATCTGAAAATAAAGTTGTCAGTTTTACTAAGGACAGATTTAGGCAGGAGGAGAAATTCATCTCCTTGAGAAGATTTAGAGGATTGTGAAATGTTGAGGTATGTATAGGAGATATGGAAATACTAAAGTGTTTTATTAATAAAAGGTGTACATGCCATTATTTTGTAACTGCATATCAAAACATAAAAGTTTTACTGCCGGGTGTGGTGGTGCATGCCTATAATCCCAGCAGTCAGGAGGCTGAGGCAGGAGGATCACTGTGAGTTTGAGGCTAACCTAGGCTACATAGTGGGTTCCAGGTCAGTCTCACCTACATAGTGAGACTCTGTCTCAAAAAAATAAATAAGCTAAATAAATAAATAAAGTTTTAAAAACTTTGAATTATAGGACAATAGAGTTCACATTGGACCCAAAATGGAAATTCGAGTTGTTACATTGGGATTAGATGGTGCTGGAAAAACTACTATTTTGTTTAAGTTAAAACAAGATGAGTTCATGCAGCCCATTCCAACAATTGGTAAGTAAGAATATTGCTTTTTTTTTTTTTTTTAACCTTACTGGATATTTTATAGACAACCCGTAGTTTAAAGCTGTTTTTTTTTTTTTTTTTAACCTTACTGGATATTTTATAGACAAACCGTAGCTTACAGCTGTGTCTTATTTGATACTGATTGTAGTGCAGATGAGCTATTTGCTAGCTGTAAGACACCAGCATTTTAGCAATACAAATGCAAGATTCTGTGGTTATGGGATTAAAATGTGGATGGTGGGATAGTAAAAAGAAATAGAGTATTGATAGGACAGTTACAAGGAATAGAGGATTGGTGACCCTAGGTGAGAGTTAAGCCTGAGTGAAGTAGTAGTGGTACAGAGTTGGCAAGTACACGGATTCCAAGGCCCTAGGGATCCTTGTAGAGGTATAGAGGGCTCACTACCATTAAATGTATACATATCCCATGCAGGATTACGAGTGAAGTTGTTTGGGCTTCAGTATATATTGCTACATGCAGATAATACATGAATCATAATTACAAACAGGGCTGCTTGTATTTGATATGTCATTCATTGTAACATACATACAGTATAAAAATAACTTTTTTTTAAAACAGGTTTTAATGTGGAAACTGTAGAATATAAAAATCTAAAATTCACCATTTGGGATGTAGGTGGAAAACACAAATTAAGACCATTGTGGAAACATTATTACCTTAATACTCAAGGTAAGCAAAAAATGGTATCCTAATTTTTAAAAATTGCAGGATGACAGTTCTTAATAAGTTAATTTAACTAGTAAAATGAATATTTAAACATTGCTTAAATACCTGAATACATATCAGTGATCAGGCCCTTATCTTTAAAAAAATTTATATTGGTAAGCCTAGGATATGTATTTCTGGCTTATGATTAAACCATTATTAATGGTTTAATGTAATGTTTAGGTGATTACACTTACATCTTGGCTGGTATTAATAATTAACATACATTATTAGTATTCAAATGGTTGTGATCAGTGGCAGTAATATAATGGTATAAAGTTGAATCTGTGGATATGCTTTTGTTGTTCAAATTCATTTAAACATTTAGCCCATTATAATCTCTCAGTAGCACCAATACCTAATTTATAATTAGCTATTTTCAGAGGACTTTCAATGGCTTGCTCTTGACCAGAGTGTCTATATGATATATATTCCACTGTGGTACTCTTTTAGTTTGGGCCCTGGATCCCAAGTTTGATCCCCGGTACCAAAAATAAATTAAAAAAGGAGGGTATGTTTGTGCCCAGTTCTAAACTTTTGCCTGTCAGATCCTAACAAGAAACTTAAGTATATAGGTCATCCTGTTTGCCACTTAGAAGAGAGACTAGATAACTTTTACTTTGGAATTTTTGATACTACATTTATTTGTTTTTTATTTTTTGGTACCGGGAATCACACTCATACCTTCCACTTTCCAGGCAGATGCTATACCTCTGAGTTACTTTCATGGCACCTGATAATACATTTAATATGAACCATAAAGCATAGAAAAAATGGATTTTGGAACATGAGCAAGGATTATAAGTCTGGGGATGTTTAGATTACAGAGAGGAATACTTGGAGAGTTAAATACATTGTCATTTATTATTTGAAGATTATCTTTGTAAAGGAAGTATTCAAACAAGTAGCATCAGTAGGTAGACCATGAAAAGCATATTTTCAGTTAAGAGGAAAATAATTAATATACAGTAGCAGTTTTTGATAAAGTGTGGTAAATCCTGTCATAGAAAACTAAGCCTGTGAAGTAATGTGAATTACTCAAGATAATACCATTAATTGTTGGTTATTGTTCCTATCATTAGGTAGGCAGCCTTCATGTGGAAATCGTTGTAGTAAACAAACTCTTGCAATAATATAACAAAGCATTAAATATTAGGTTCATTCACTGAAACCTAAAAAGTGATTAACTGAATTTTTTGGCAGCTGTTGTATTTGTTGTTGATAGCAGTCATAGAGACAGAATAAATGAAGCACACAGTGAACTTGCAAAGTTGTTAACAGAAAAAGAACTCCGAGATGCTTTGCTCCTGATTTTTGCTAACAAACAGGTAACACATGTTATATATTTTAGTAGTTTGTGTATTCTATATCATAAAGCAGCTGAAAAAAATTGAGAATCATTATAGAAGATATTTATAAAGTTTTGTGTATTTTGAATGCATCTGGGTACCTTAAAGTACACAAAAAAAGGTAATTTATGCTCACCATATTGTAGTGTATGTTTGTGAACTCCTGTGAGATTCTAGCACAAAGAAAATTGGAAGTAACTTAGTAATACTAACAAAGCATTATGGGGAATAAGGGGAGAGAGATTGAAAAAGGGTCAGGGTACAGAGGAATAATGAAGGTGAGATCTTTTAAGATTAACAAAAAGGATTTCACTTTAAATTAACAGAGGAGTTGAAATTATGGGTGAGACTGAATGTAAAAGAAAGAACCTTACAGGCGAGAAAATAATAGTGGAGTGTTTTTAGGGAACATCAAAAAGCCCTGTGAGATGCAAGTTAGAGAATTACAAAAAAAATCTAGAATAACAGATGCAGTCACTTTGTGAAGGTCTGATTGAGCTAGACTGAAATTTATGAACAATCATCAGAATGTTTTTGGACAAGTGAATGATGAGACCATATCAGTGTTTTAAGACTAATTTGGGGGGCAGAATGTAATGAATTAGGGCAAAGGAGTAAATAAAATGCAGTCAACTACTAAAATAATTCATGTGACTGTTGATATCCACCATTAGAGGAGAAAGGCAGAAGCAGGCCAAAGAGAATGTATGGAGGTAGATTTGTCAAAAATTTAGTGACAGCGAGAACAAAAGATTGCAAGTACTATATCTGAAGATTCCTAGGTCTTGAACCCAAGCTCCTAGGAGAATGAGAATGCTTTGAAAACATGTAGGAGTTGAGTAGAAGTGAAGTCGAATAGATAGATATCATAGGAGGGGAAGAGTAGGATGAAGAGTAAAACATTTTCTCAACAAATAAAAGGACAAAATTAAGAACTGATATTTATGCTTACATTAGATGACATGCAAATAAGACACCTATCATGTAGTTTATTATTGTTTCATGAGATATGAAGATTCATACACACTGTTGGTGTGGTTGTCAAACAGGCTTTTTTTGGTCTTGGGAATCAAACTCAGAGACTCATGCATGGCAGGCAAGCTCTGTACCACTGAGCCATATCCATAGCCCAAGGCATTTTCTTAGAGGACATTTTGACAATATCTGTCAAAGTTTTGGATGCCTATGCCCTTTTACCCTAAAAATCTACAGTAATCTATCTACAAGTCATTTTGTAAATGTTATGTAAACTCATATATACATACATGTATGAGTGTGTTATATGTATGCATGTAGTCTTTTTCAGTATCCATGGGGACTGGATCCAGGACTTCTTATAGCTTCTAAAATCTTAATACACTCAAGTCCCTTTTATAAAACAGCATAGTATTTGCACGTAAACTACACATACCCTCCTGTATACTTTAAATCTCCTGTCGGTTACTTATAATTCTTAATACAAAGTATATTCTTTTTTTTTTTTTTTTTTTGGTATCGGGAATTGAACTTGGGTCCTTGCACTTGCAAGGCAGACCACCGAACCCCTGAGCTAAATCCCTGGCTATTTTATGTTAATAGTTAAACTTCATTATTAGTATTGATTTTTTCCTTTTCTTTTTCATTATTTTTTGAAACAGTCTTACTGAATAGTTTTAGGCTGGTCTTAAACTCAGTATGTAGCCCAGGCTTGCCTCAAACTCATGACAGTCCTCCTGTCTCACTCTCTAGTGTGTACCACCACATCTGGCTAAACTTTATTTCAGGAAATATTGATAAGTAAAAATCAACTGTATATGCTCAGTACTGATCAGGTTTTTTGGAATATTTTCATTCTGTTGGTTGAATCTGTACATGCAGAAACCATACATATAAAGGGCCAACTGTTTATAAAGATTTTTAGTAGCATGTAAGCATGACTTCTGTAAATATTTGGTGTATGTAGGACTGGTTACATAGATTCTGTTGCATCCACACAATGGAATTCAATTTTCATGTTAATGTAGAAAATCTGCATGTGCTGATAATAGAAAGATATTTATTGGGGATTTAGCTCATTGGTGCTGGGCCTTCCTTGCAAGACCAAGGTCCTGAGTTCGATCCCTGGTATCCCCCGCAAAAAAGATATTTATTTTCATTTGTCTTAAAGTCAACATGTTAAATAAAAAAAATACTGCAAGTTATAGAAAGTCTAAAGTATGTTTATGTTTATGTGCATTAATAGGTATGGAAATTTTCTGGAAAACTATGTAAGAAATTGTTACAGATTATTGCTCCCAAGAAGTAGGAATCAAAGGTGTTTAGAATGGGAAATGTGATAAACTCTTTATTTATGTAAACCCTGTATAAGCCATTTTTAATACTCTGTGTGTTAATTTCTTTTTTTGTAACTGATGTCTTAAAATGACTTAGTATCTTCCACTCAGGTTGCATGGCCTTCACTGATTTCATTGTAAGAGTATTCTTACAAAATATATATATTTACACGCATGCACGCGCGCGCGCGCGCGCACACACACACACACACACACACATTATAGCGAAGACTACTTCTTTTCTGTCACTACTTTGAGGATAATTATTGATGGATGAATCCTGATTTTAACTTTTGTCTAGGTTTTTGTTAGAATGCTATTGATAGATTTCTGTATAAAAATTACAAAAATGATAATTTGGATGGACTGAAAAAAATACACTGTGTATATATGTATTTTTCAGGATGTTGCTGGAGCTCTTTCAGTAGAAGAAATCACTGAACTTCTCAGTCTCCATAAGCTATGCTGTGGCCGCAGCTGGTATATTCAGGGCTGTGATGCTCGAAGTGGTATGGGCCTGTATGAAGGGTTGGACTGGCTCTCACGGCATCTTGTAGCTGCTGGGGTATTGGATGTTGCTTGATTTCAAGTGCCAGTTATTTAGTTTTGTGGTTAAGAGTTATTTTGCACATAGCACATAAAAAATTCTATATCTCAAATACAGTAATTTAAAGATGTGCATAGAAAAGAATCTTGGATTGGGGATGAAGTATGTTATTGTTTTTAAAAATTTACTCTGAAGAAATGTGAATTAACAAAGCAGATTAGATTGGATTAGATTTCTTAGATATACTTTCTCTTTAAAAGTATATTTAAGTTTTCCAGATTATATGTTATCCCATACATTGAGAAAAGAGTTGTCACAGAGAAAGGATAAGTGAAGGTTTTTGTTTTTCCTAGTGAAAAACAGATTCACCAACTGAATGCCTAGTGGAGACTGTACAGAGCAAGGAAGTCATAACTTCTTTAACTTGCCTTTTCACTGAATTTTAGCAGTACTTAGTAATAGACACGGCAGTTGCATAATGAAATAGAAAAACTGCTTTTGGGGTATTAAGATTACTTCAATGTTCAGTATAATAGAACATCTTTAATGCAAAGAACTATAAGCTATAAAGTTAATATTTTATACAATGTTTTATTAAAACTTTTCTCCTAAAGCATTTTGTAAAAAACATAGAGAATGAAATATCTAATTAGGCCTGAATGTCAGAGTAGTACTACTAAATTGAAGTAATTAATAAAACTGTGAAAGTCATTTGATCTTTACCTAGGCTTATTTCCTAGTCCAGAGCTCTAAATTGATTCTTCCATTTCTCAACATATTCTTTTGTTTTAAAATATCCTGTCCTTTGTGGGAGTGACTATAGGTAAAATATAGTCAGTCACACAAAGAACCAATAGTCAGCTTTACATAAAAGAGAACTAAATAGAGAACTGCTTTTACCTTAAAGAGCTGTTGTTCCATACAGCAGGGAACGCCTATTACTTATTTTTAAAATACTTCCCAAAATAAGTGCATTTGTTTGACCAAAAAAAAAAAAAAACCAAAAAACCAAAAAAACCATAATTAAGACTTCATGTCAAAGCCTCATAGTTATTTAAGAGGAAATTCTTATCTACAGAAGGAAACAAAACTTTCATAAAGTTTACATGTTATGCACTGTTGTGAATAAATAAAAAGTGTGCTCTTTACTTTTTCTCCTTTTTACATGATATTCATTGAAGCATGTTTTTATTATATTTAAGTATCTACTTTTCTGTGTTTTTTTATGCTTTAATACTTTCAGATGTTCACTCTTCAGTCTTATTAGTTGAATTGTTATAAGGACAGTGATTTATCTGATGACAAGATGTGACTTAAGTGGCAGTTTTGGTTCACTCTTCAAATTTTTTTTTAAACAATAAATTTAGAAAACAAAGCATTTAAAAGTCCATCAGTGTTATGGGCAACATGTAAATAAGTATAATATTTAGTCCTTTATTTTCAAGTAAAAGGTCATGCTGTTACAAGTAGTTTATGTGCATAAGTGATACTTTGGGATTAAATTATTTAATATTTGACTGATTTCAGTGTAGCTGTGAAAAATAAGAATGGTGTTTCATTTGCCTGTGAGCCGTTGAACTGTTTTCTATACTAGGTGATTTAAAAAAGTATAACATTGACATGTAAACTTGCTTTTCCGTATAAATTTTTGATTTTACTAAACTTTGTAATTCACATTCTTAGCATATAACTGAACAGAATTTTAAAATTTGGCTCAGCCCTGACCATAATATATATATATTGGTAGGGCTTGTGTTTGATTTTTTCTTAAATTTTTTTTCATGCTCCCATTACTATTTGTGGTTGTAATCTTTCACTAATCATTAGTCAAGATTGTGCTACTTTCCCCTGGGAAATGTCAAATTTAAGAATGACAGATGTTTTAAATACAACATATTAAGATTTGCCACCTAGCTCTGAATTTCTGTATATGTCTAAATATTATTGGATGGATTATATAAAGCAGCTGTCTAGTGTATAGCCTTGCTTTACAATTCAGGAATGCTTAAAACCACAGAAGCCATTATTTACTTAACATATATGATCAGTATAGACAGCAATAAAATATTAAAATCATTATAAAGGAGAAGTCCTATCATTATTCTACGTCTGTTTCTTGAACCATGCATCTAGAATTACTGCTATTAAGAAACTTAAAACATCATTAAGGATTAGAGGTGTATACCTAGCATACATGAGGCCCAAGTTTGAACCATGGCACCAAAATTAACAGTTATCATTTGTACTTTCGTTAGGAGAAACAGTGAAACAAAAGGGGAGGGGATTTGATTGTCCTACCAAATTCTAGCTATTTATTTGATGAAGCAAAAATTTACAAATAGTGCATTCTTTGTTAAGAGATCACCTTTAAATAATGCAACTGTGTTACAGAAGTGTTTTGAAGGGAGAGTTACACTTTGTAGTGAGCACTGGTTTTTTAGTTTTCACTGTTTTTTAAATTTTAAAGAACATGGCATTTTAAATGACCATTGTTAGGAGGCCAGGGATGTAGCTCAGTGGCACAGCACCTGCCTGGCAAGAACAAGCCCCTGTGTTTGACTCCCGCTACCAAGAAAGAAAGAAAAAAAAGACCATTAAAAAAAAATGGCTTGAGGTGTTAAGAGTGTAGCTCAGTAGTAATGCACATGCTTAGTGTATGCAAGGCTCTGGGTTTAGATTTTTAATTTTTTTTTTTTTTGGTTTTTTGAGATAGGGTCTCTCTATGTACTTGTGACTGACCTGGAACTCACTATGTAGCCCAGGCTGGTCTCAAACTCACAGCTATCCTCCTGCCTCAGCCTCCCAAGTGCTGGGATTACAGGCGTGCACCACTGCACTCGGCTTGGGTTTAGATTTTTTTAAACGTGGGTGGTGGGGCTTGAAAAACTCAGGTGTAGCTTATAAATATTGATGACTTTATATAACATGCTGGTTTTCAGTTTGTAAAGTGCTAACAGGTAAGAAAATAGGTTGACACTTCCCTAAAAGAGAAGAGATGAAAAGGATTTACAAGTATGAGATTCGACTTTTTATTTTTATTTATTTTATTTTTTGAGAGAGGGTCTTGCTTCGTAGTTCACACTGGTCTTGAACTTGCAGTGACCCTCCTGCCTCAGTCCCTTGAGTGCTGGGATTACAGGTGCACATCATCCTTCCTGGCAGAAGTATTAGTTCTCAACAGTTACAGTAGTGATGAAATCAATGACTTTGAAGTCAGATTTTTCAGCTATATTAGAAGATACAGAGCCAGGTGGCACACACCTGTAATTCGAGCACTCGGGAGGCTGAGGCAGGAGGACTGCTGTGAGTTTGAGACCAGCCTGGCTTACATAGTGAGTTCGAGGTCAGTGTAAAGTACCTATCTCAAAAAACAAAACAAAACAAAATATATATTGGACCTGCATTTTAAAACTGCAAGTAATCACTTCTGGTTATTGTGTAACGCTTTTGAACAATAGAACACTCTTACTTATTGAAGGTTTGTTTACCACTATTACAAAGACAAAAATATTTGGTATGAAACAAAAACCTTAGAAAACCTTATAAAAACCTTTGTATTTTTCCCCTTAAAGGGATCTGCCCTTCTCGAAACCTAAGGGCAGACCATCTGGCATGTTTTTGAAAGTTAAGGAACAAATATGTACCACTTCCAATTTAATAATTTAGTATTCTGGAGACTTCTAAGAAATTACCTGTGAGAAATGCTATTTGCCTAGTTGTAGTTCATTTCACCATGTTTTAGGATTAGAAATACTGCAAGAAAAAGGCAGTTTTTACAAAACAGGCTTTAATGAGAAAAATATAGTATTACATCTTTTAAAACATTTATATATTCAGTGAGTTTTAAGTTTCCTAAAGTAAAACAATCTTGTGTTCAATAAATGTACATGTATTTGCAAATACAGTGAAACATCTTATTTTACTTGACAGTGATATTTATAATGCTGACATCCTCATAAGGTTTATCTGTTTTGGGATTGACTTTGACATTGGAGATCCTTTGTACAACTTCCATTCCTTTGGTCACTCTTCCAAATACTGTGTGCTTATTATCAAGCCAAGGCTGTTAGAGAACAAATGGAAAATGTTGGTACATAGTGATATCTTAAGTCACATCCTCTGGGCGAGCAATTAAAGAAAACTTAAATTCTTGGTTCCTTTTATTATATATTTAAAGGGAAGTACAATTATTTCTGAATAAAAACAGCAGCTTTTAAAAGTTATTCACGATTTATATGAAAAAGACATACAAGCATATGTTGATTTTTTTTTTTAGTATCCAAACCAGGGAGGATTGGTGTCCCTCATTCCCCTTGAAGTATTAAATCCGTAGATGCAATTTTCTGTCTGAATATTTTCAACCCATATTTAGTAAGATAACTAAGGAACCCAGTGATAGAGGATCAAATTCAAAGAAATCTACACTGTTCAGATCAAGAGGAGGTAAATGTTTGCTAAAGGTAAGTTACTTTGTGCAGTTTTTAAAAATTATGGCTGTAGCTTTAGAAGTTTTCTGTAGGAATCTTTCCTGAACAAGTAAGAGGCAGTTTTAGCATGTACTGTAACTGGTATTAGGTATTAATTAATAGTTTAATTGGTGGCTTTACTACGTACTTGACCTTTGGCAAGTTAATCATGGCTCACCATTTGTTTCCTCATGTGACTGAAAACTGAATATAGTGATGTTATAACTACCATGAGTAGAATAGCATCTATAAATATTTTCCATTCTTGTTTGGTCTTAGTGTACAATTCTTATAATTTTGTGGAACTGTATAACAACAGAGATAGATGACATAGCTAGTTGTATGTTACCTAGTTATATTTTAGCCAGTTATCAACTTTTCTCTGAATTGTTTTCATTTTTATATCTTTGCAAGAATGCAGAGGATAGAGAATAATGCAGCTCTTTTGTCCACGGGTTTCATTCTCTTAGATCATGACATTTGAATCTGTGGTTTATAAACAGTGCACTTACCGTTGGTACTACTGTTATGAAAAACTGTGATCCATTAGTATTTGATCCAGCATTGGCCATGCTGAGGGTGTATGGTCTGTCATGTCTTAATGTTGAATGAAATTCATCTTCAAATTCTCCTCCCCATATGCTTTCTCCTCCCATACCAGTACCTGTTGGATCTCCTGTCTGAATCATGAAGCCCTTAAAAGAAAATATAAAAAAAGCATGTTATACTTTTAAAAATAGTCTATATGTAGGTCTTGCATGTTTTATTTCTGCCAGGAGTGCTTTGTATTTGGTAAGATTCTCTAGCTTCCTTCAGTATGTCTATAAAGTGGTTAGATTACCTTAGTAAGTTAAACTGGATGATGTCTTTTCATTCAGTGACCAAAACAAGAATACAGAGGTTTGGGCTGGTTATAGTGGCACACAGCTGTAATCCCACTAATCAGAAGGCTGAGGCAGGAGGATTGCCACAAGTTTGAGGCCAGCTTGAAATACAGTGAGACTGTCCCATCCCCACCCCCTAATACAAAGGTCTTCTCATCTATAGGCATACATTACTTTACTAATAATATAAAAACAATAAGTGTATTAGGATTTTATATGTCTTAAAGATACCATCTTTACTGCACCTCAAATACTGTAGACTTTCTGGAGGAGTTGTTTCACTAATTCCTTCAAAACTCTGACAACTAGTTGATTTTTCTTTCTGCCATTTTTGTTTGTTTATTTGTTTGCTTTTGGAGATAGTCTCTCTATGTAGTTCAGGCTATGCTTCAATTTACAGCAGTCTTCCTTCAGCCTCCTGAGAGCTGGGATTACCGGTGTACACTACCATACCCAGCTTTTCTACAGTCTCTGAGTATATAAGAACTATGTCACTTCCCCATCCACTGTATGGAATGCTGTTCAAAATTTGGAGTTGAGCTTACACTCCTCCTCAGGTATAGAAGTGGTCTCACAGATCAGATGGCACTGTGACTCTCCTATGGTTTAAAATCTTATCCTCTAGATCTAGACCTGGCCTAGGTCCCAGGAACTGGTTATCTTTACTACTGGTTTTATATCAGCATGACCCTTTACTCATTATCTTACCCTCTGCTTTAGCTGCTGACAAAACGTTGCTTCAATGTTTCTAAAAAGGTAATTACCTCACTGCTTCTGTTCTTGATTCTAGATAGGCATGACTATCCATTCTTTGTTTTTTTGGCTTCTGCAGTCCACTTTCTTGTCCCCTTCAAATAAACCAGTAAGTGACAAGAGGATTCTTTAGGCTTAAATTCCTTGTCCAGTAACTTACTATTTGTTAAATAGCATGAAATTTACATAACTTACCTTAATTATACGGTGAAAAGTATGTCCATTATAATAACCATTTCTGCTGTGAACACAGAAGTTCTCCACTGTCTTAGGGCACCTAGTAAGATACATATTAAAAACGTGAAACTCATTTAGAGCACCTAAAACAAATTTCTTTACAGTTTGGTTTCCTAATAATGTTCTCAATGTCTCATGAATATTTCAAAAGATAAATCTTTTTTAATAACGTCTTCTATTGTGCCAGGTATGTAGTTTAGCAGCTGTGTACCTGCCTGGCAAGTGCAAGGTTCTGAGTTCAGTTTCCAGTACCAGAAAAAAAAAAAATTAAACTATTTGCAAAACAAATTTGTTGAATGGGCATGTAAGCAGTAGTATATTCTCATTGTTCATATGGTAACTTTAGATCATGACTGCTTATTAATGAGTTTGACAGTATTTATATTTCAAGGTCATTTCGCACTTAAAAAAATACAAATACATAGCACCTTTAGATATATATCTTAATTTACCATGTATAATAGTGGGTTAAGCTTCTAAGAAAGGTAATGTTCTTAAGAAAACAATGTTATGGTCCAGTGACTCATTTTTGCCCAAGGATTTACAGAAACAGTACCTCTCAAATTTAAAAACTTCAAGAGCCATACACTAAGAACATTAAGTTTTCTCAAATATTAACTAATCTCACGAAAGGATTTTATATGTTATATTACAAAACAGTTCCAAGAATAGAAGAATCAAAAAAATCTTGGGGCAGCTGGATGTGTTGGTGTACACCTATAATTCCAGCACTCGGGAGGCTGAGGCAGGAGGATCGCTGTCAGTTTGAGACCAGCCTGAGCTACATGTGAGTTCCAGGTCAATCTCAACTACATAGTGAGACTGTCTCAAAATACAGTTCCAAGAATAGAAGAATCAAAAAAATCTTGGGGCAGCTGGATGTGTTGGTGTACACCTATAATTCCAGCACTCGGGAGGCTGAGGCAGGAGGATCGCTGTCAGTTTGAGACCAGCCTGAGCTACATGTGAGTTCCAGGTCAATCTCAACTACATAGTGAGACCCTGTCTCAAAAAACCAAAAAAAAAAAGAAAAAATCTTGGGGCAGGCACTCATGAAATAAGCTTAAAGTTGCATTGGTGTCTAACAACTGAAAAGAGATTATTTAGGAGCCTAGAACTGACTGCCTTATTCTTTGTTTACTACCAAGATATATAATAAAATATTCAAAAGTAAAGGTATAATAAGAGATCACCTTATAAGTCAAAAATGTCCAGAGGTACTCTATTTGTTACTGTATGTTTATTTTACAAACTTTTAAACTATCGAGTACTCTCCAACCTTT